ACAATCTCCACCTAATAGAGTATTATATGGGAATGGAAAAGAATAGACAAGTGCTCTGTGCAGCAGATATATCTCACAGAAAATGGAGGGACAGAAGCCAGACACAAAAGTCTGTAGTCTGATTCCATTGACACCAGTCCTAATCTGTGATGGTAGAATTCAGAACAGAGATTTCCTTTCAGAGGATAACTAGGAAGGGGAAAGAAGACAGTAGTAACATACTAGTGATGTGGTATTTGTCAGGAAGCATAGTGGCTACATGGCTATATTCATTTTGCATATCAGCAGTGTACTATACACTTGCGAAATGTGTATTTTTCTTTGGGTAGTTCACCCAGCAGTAAAATGTTCAGTAAGAGGAAGAAGAAATCCAATTCAACTTTAGTGCAAGGTCACGTTTTTATTCTCAGGTGCATTATCTGCCCTGGGCTGGGTACATGGAGGCATAGGCACTCTAGTTCAGAATACTGCAGTAATTAATCACATCGTTGAAAACTGGTAGCCATTAACACAAGCAAGAAAATAGCTGACTGGTAAAATTTCCATACAGACACCATGCAATGTACTTATGCTGGCTCAAAATATTTCCTGTCCGCCATCTGGGACAGCTCAAGATTTACACATTCAGTTGCAAGGAGGGACAAATAAATATGACCTTGGGGTTCAGATTGGCCAAGATGCTATTCTTAAGTAAGACAGCTGCAGAGGCTTTCTCTCAGAAAACAAGAATTGTTAGTATAGGTTGTGAAAATGCCATTCTAAAGTGGAAGGTTTACAACATCTTGCTAAAGTTATTTCAAAAAGTGGCAAAGCATAAACGATGGAAAGGTAATGAACATCAGGCACTGAGGGCATCCACTGCAGTGTCCTGTAATGGGCAGTAAATAAACCGAGAAATGGCCTCTTAGTGACCATGAACAAAGTTATGATCTGACCACCGGATTCTAGCAGGCATAGGGTACTCTGGATCTTGCCTACCTTTCCTTTTCCTCTGGTAGAGTTCAGAGGGAACGCTGCATTAGTCAGCTTTGCATTGCTATACCAAAATACCCAAGAGAAGTCAATTATGAAGAGAGAAAGTTTGTTCTGGCTCAGTTTTGAAGGCTTCTGACATTGACCACTTGGCCTCATTCTTGGGGCCCCCAGCACACCATGGAAGATGCACATGGCAGAACAAGCTACTTATATCATAAGCCAGCTAGCAAAGACAGCCAGCAAGGGGCCAGAGTCCTGCAATGTTCTTCAAAGTCATGAGCCCCAGTGGTGTAAGGGCCTCCCACAAACCTCATGGCCTAAAGGTTCTGCTGTCCACTGGTAGCACCATACCAGGAAGTAAGCCTTTAAACACATGAGACTTGCAGGAATGTGTAGGGTGCAGCCACAGCAGACATCCATTGAAGGCCTTTGTGGGTACCCCAGGCTGGACCAACTGATCGATTTCAGCCCTTTAGCCGCAGTGAGAGGTTAGTGGCTGGGCACGTGGCCCAGGCCAGCGAGGGTTCTCCATGAAATTTCACTACACCAGCTAGGAAGAAGGTCTACAGTACAGCCTGGGCTGCCTGAGTCCTCTTTCCGGCAATGCACAGAAGAGACGTCTTTGAGATAGGAAAGTGTTAGGCCAGTAAAGACAGAAACAAAGCCAAGCAGAAATAATTCAGCGAGGAGCTGATGGCCTGACATGGAGGAATGCTGCTTCTTGCAGCCTGTCCTTCCTTTCTGCATGCTAGACACCAGAATGCACCAAAATTCCTGTTTTTCTTAAGCTGCTCTGACTTGAAGCTACTTTGAATTCATTGATGAAAGCCTTGACAAATACACCAATAGAAATGGAATCAGGAGTACAGTACAGTAGCATAGGAGGGGTGGGACAAGGAGGTGATCTACGAATGCGGCTGATGCTGGCCACCTGGAGTTGCTGAGTGTCCACACTGCTCTCAGCTGGCCTTGGCTCTGCCATGTGACGGTATCTAAGCCCCAGGTGTATGTTCTCAGTTCCTTTGACTCTGCTCAGGTTTCACTGAAAAAAATAAATAAATAAAACAAACCACATTTGCCATCCACCTCAATACCTGTCTCTCTGCCTTAATCCTCAATTCTTCCTTACTTCCCAAACACAGGAATTTCCCAAGCACATGATATTTTCCCAATACATGAATTTTTCCCAAATGTATAAATATTTCATAAACATGCAAAAATGAGCAATGCTATTGTTTGTGTCTAGCTGGCCCCCAAAAGCCTCATGCAGTCATGGGGCGACTTCTAGAGTTTGTGATTAACTCATGATCCACTGGGATTATGGGTGTGAGTGCTACACCCAGCCTGGGGCAGACAGCTTGAATGCAATTTAAGGGAGACAGACTTGCTCTCTGCAGCCATTGTTGCAGCTACTCCTCCCATGTGCTCTTGCTCTTTGCTGCAGCCATGAAAGGCTGCTCTCTTCCATGTGCCACTCTGCCTTGGAGCCAGCCCAGTATGGACTGAAACCTCCAGTAACTGTGCACTAAATAAACCTTTCCTTCCTTCATTTTGAGTGTCTGGTATTTGTCCCAACAATGAGAGAAGAGTAACTGAGAAAAGTAAATTCTGCTCTTAAAAGTTTTGCAAGGTGAGGGTATGTCCTAATGTCACTGCTCCAAAATGTCCATGTAGGCAGACAGATTTGCTTATGTGAGATTCCTAAACATTCAGAAGCCAGCTTGAAGTTACTCTGCTGAAATTACTGTCTGAATATGATTTATTCTAAAATTGCTTTGGGAGGGCTGGCCAAATAGCTCAGCAGATTAAAGTGACTGTTTAGGCAGACACAAGGGCCTGGAGTTTGATGTCTGGGCCTGCCATGCTAGCCCTGGCCCTGGGGCGGGCTGAGATGGCAATTGAGACTGAGCATAGTGGTACATGCCTATAATCCCAGCGCTTGGGAGGCTTTAAACTGGAGGATCACTACGAGTCCAATCTATGCAGTGAGACCCTGTAGACCCTGTCCTAAATACAATAAATAAATAAATAAATAAATAAAAATTGCTTTAGGACTGGCCGGATAGCTCAGTGGACCAAAGTGCCCTTTTAGGCAGATGCAGGGACTGGGGTTCAATCCCTGGCACTACATGCTGTGGTGCTGTATTTAGACCCTGTACTAAATACATTAAAGGGGCTGGGGAGATAGCTCAGTAGAACAAGCACTTGCCTGGCAAGCGCAAGGTCCTGAGTTCAATCCCCAGTACAAAAAAAAAATAAAATAAAATAAAATAAAATAAATACATTAAAAATAAATAAACAAATAAATAAACTGCTCTGATTCATAAAATACAAATTGAGAGAAGGGTGTACATTCTGCATTAATGCATTTGTTGCTTGGCTTTATTGTTGACCTCTGTGTGTGTGTATCTGTGTGTGTGTGTGATCATTAGACCACACATGCCTATGAACACAGAAACTGGGTCTTACAGAATCTTCAGACCAGCTGGTGTCTGCTTCCCTACCACATACAAGTTTGGCTTTTAGTGTTCCACAGATCTTGGCTGCCTCGAGTGTGATCTCCTTGATAAGTGGCATCAGCACTCCTGAGACAAAAAACCGCAAATGCAGAATAAGGATCCCACCTCAAAATGATTGAGTTGTAAGCCTGGTAGTCTGTATGTAGTAGCAAGTTTGAAAAGTACTGCCTTGGATAACAGAAGTCCCAGAAATAGGATTCAGACCTCCCCCAGGAGACAGGACACACCCCAAAAGTCTCTGTAATCCAAAGCAGAATCTGTCAAGGTTGGAGAAAGCTCAGCTGTCCTGGAGACGGAGGTAGGTCTTAAACATGCTGGAAGGGCTGTTCCAAGTCACGGAGGAGCCATACACCAGCAGCAGTGTGCAGCGGGGAAGAGAGACAGGCAGGCGGGTAGCAGAACTGCGGGTGAGAGGTGAGGAGGGCTGCAGCAGAGAGATGGCCTAACAGCTGACAAGCAAGGGGACCTGGCCAAGCTTTGGGAGACAGGAGCCGATGGTGGGTGGAAGAAGAGGAGAACTAAGGGGGTTAAAGCTCAGAATCTGCTGCTCCAGGGTAGAAATGACACCACCTGGGGGCAGAAGGGTCCGAGGATGATGCACCTGGCCTGGACACCATCTCTAATTGCTCAGGATCTTATCCCTTTTCCTCCTCCCTGATGGAGGGATTGCTCCATCAGGTTTGAATTTCAGAGCTATGACGCTCTGTGATTCTGTACCCAGAAAAGATGGGAACTTGTAAAAGCACACAACTATCAGCTTTTTAATCTTAGAATTAATTGATTCAGAAGAGTGAAAAAATAAATTAACAGCGCCACTTCAGTATCTAAATGAATTGAGCTTCAGCCAGCGTCTGCAGGAAGCTTCTATAAGAACTCAGTAAATGACTTCCATTTGAAAACACGGCCGCAAGAGCACTTAATAAGAGCAATTTGGCCATGATAATGATGGTCCACACGTCGCAGCATCATCTATCCAGTTAAGCAAATGTTTCCACGGAGCGGTAATCACGAACCAGGACAGGACACGTCTATGGAAGAGGGCCCCTCCGCAGTGTGACCAACTGCAATTCTAAAATTGCTGGGTGAGCGTTTTGCTCTTTCCAGGATCTGCATCTCTTCTGCCTATTCTGAATGCAGTATTCTTCGGAAAACAGCAGCTTGGGGTGAGGCATGGAGAAGCCAGGCCCCTGGAAACTAAGGCTCCCCAGGGCAACGACAGGATCAAAATAGGTCACCGCGGGGCTCTCAAGAAGCTCTCCCTGACCCGCCAGGGTGCCAGGCGCGCGCTGCCAGCGGGCTGGGGCGGGTGCGGGGTGCAGCGGCCCAGGCAGTGCGGCCGTCCTGCTCTCTGCCCGCTGCCTCTCGCCC